ACAGCTCGCCCAAGCTTAGCACCTAATTTAAAGCATCAGACGGAATAGCAGAAGGTTTTACTGTGAGACGTCAGCAGTCCGGGTGAAGCAGAAGGAAGTTCAGCTTCGGTTTGTAGCTCCACACACGTCTGTCCAAAGCAGGTCGATTGGCTATCGAACGAGGGCGTCCCCTCGCAGACACACCGTTTCAACGATCTGCGGTTCCCGTCCTCAAAGGGGGAATTCCACAAACAGCACGCAGAAGGAAACTCCGTTCTTTCTCACACAACTCAGCGGGAAGGCACCATTATACCCTGCAGTCCATGAGTTTCATGGCAGAAAGCTAGTATCAGATAGCTTCCAGGGATATCAGGCACAATAATACCCTGCAGTCTGTGGCTTTGGCGGCAGGAAAAGAGGACAGCTAATTTAGCTAGCTACCAGAGAACATCCTACGTGGAATTTGACTCTGACCTGGATGACTGAGAACTTTCAACAGAAACCTTGACTGAAGCATTATCTAGAGTTTTGGGTATAACCTATTCAATTCAATTCAGTTTATTTATATAGCGCCAAATTCACAACAAATGTCATCTCAAGGCACTTTACAGCTCAACCTAGTTGGGTTAATCTTGTGCAGACTTTTCTGTAGATCCGATACTAGTAATGGTTGTAGATAATCTCTGGTAGAACCTTTAATAGAGCCTGGGTGCAGGGAGCTGATCCTCTCAGTCCTGCAGCACATTTCCTCACTGCTTCTTCTGATCTTGTCTCTCCATCAGGCTCACGATAAAACTCTGGTTAGCATCAACAACCACCTGGTCAATGGGAAGGGGAATGAGCTGGAAGGAGATCCTTCAGGTGGAGCTCTGAATGGAGAGAAGCTGAACTCCCTGAAGGAGAACATCCTGAAGGAGCTGGAGAGCAGGGTGCTGCTGTCCTGCTCAACATGCCAGGTAAATACTGGTCCTCTGAAGAGTGTTTTATATGAAGAAGGTTTTATATGAAGAGTTTTTCCTGCTGTTGTCAGGTCGGCGTGGAGGATCTGCGGCGACAGCAGGAGGAAGACCGGGAGAGGATCCGAGCTCTGGAGAAGCAGCTGAATGCGGCTGATGTTCGGTACCGACAGGACCTAGCAAGGCTTCAACAGGAGGTGCAACGCTCGCAGAGATGCTGTAGCTCCATCGATGACCTCCAACGTCGTGTCAGTGATGCAGAGAACAAAATCAGTGTATCGTCTGAGAATTTATACAATCTCCTCAACAGTCTGGACTCCAGTAGAACAGACGGAACAAGCAATGAGGGGGAATCGAAAGGAGGAGAACCGGCTGTGGGTGAAGGTACCAGAGATGGTGGGGTGAAGAATCTACTGAAGGACCTGGAGCTTCACATCAACACTGGCGTACAGCAAACTGAGAAGAACTGCTCTTACTTAGAAAAAGACATGAAGGACTACGTCCACAAACAGGTGGACGACCTGAGGACGGTTTTACTGGATCGCTTTGACGACCGGACTTTCAGAATCCAAGATGTGGAGTTGGAGGTTGAGCAGGTGCAGAAAGAGATGTCTGACCACAATGAGCGGCTCTCTGAGTTGGAGAACAGAACCTCTGCGACGAGTCGCAGGATAGAGGAGTGTGGCTGTGGAGGTTCTAACGGTGGGGGAGGCCAAGGAGGAGCTGGAGGAGGTGTCACTGGATCTGGTGGTTCTGGTGGAACTGGGGGAGGTGTCACTGGATCTGGTGGT